GTGCACCGCCCCAGATGTGAGGACTCACATACTACCTTAGGCAAAAAAAAGTGAACATGTGCAACCAATGGGGAAGCACCGAGTTCACAACTTGCATCAATAAGCCGACATAAAAATGAAGAGAATGATCGCCCTATGATCCACGGAAATCAGCGGTGGCAAGGAGTGTCAAACAACAGCGAGGTCCCCATTACCGGAACATGAGCAATGCTAGTGAGACTTATTTTCTCATTGGGTCCAAGTAATAAGGTCGCACAACGCCGCTCGCCGTCACAATGTGCCGCGTAGTTCTTAAGACAGAAACAAGAGCAATGTTAGTGGGACTTGGCCCCCGGAACGTCCTGAAACAATTGCGAGACCCGTTTTGGAAACATGGGCTGGGTCGCGAAAAAGGTCCGAGTCGTTGCCACATACAACACTGACGAATCCTGCACGATATTCGCCAGGAAATTTGCACTGGTTGTTTCGTCGGAGTTGTGCGGTGGTGGCAACAGAAACGGAACGAAATGGTGGATTAGAAGTTCGCTAGGCCTCACAATTTTTTTTTTTCCATTTCGTTTCGCTTTTAAGACCGTGAGGTGAGGCCCATTGCATCTTTGTATTTTCTTTGTGAAATTAAAAAATGAATAATTCATTAATACTCCAAAAAATAAAGATTCAATAGGGTTTTTGTGACAGTGTTTAAACCTTCGTGCAAGCAAGGCAACCCGGCACACCCGGTACTGGTGCCAAGTTCCTTTGCTTGCACGGAGGGAGTCATTCTCCTTCAACCACATCCACTCTAACTAGAGCACGTTTACCCGTTTCCCTACACTAACCCCCTTGAAGACCCAACCTTAGTTGAAGGACAATGGACCTCGTTCCACAACACTTGAAAATACTTGAGTTTCAAGGGCACCCTAAGGGGCTCGTTTGACACTCCTCAGCCGTGTAAGTCCCCCGAGAAAAATTTTGTTCCATCTATCCTCGGGGATGAAAACGAAAAAAAAAAGTAAAAACATGTCCTTGGGGAATCCTTGGGGCGTCCTCGGGCTACAACCATTTGGTGGCATTCCCTAAGGGACCTCCCGAGGTCCCTTGAAGGTCAAGGATCCGCAACAATCAGAGCAACGAGGGCACTCGTCGTCGACAAGAAATTTTTGTCGGCTGGTCCATTGGAGTTCCTACTGGGCAGCACACAGACATCTTGGGTCTTCAACGTTCGATTTCCATAAACCTTACGCCAACGGTAACCGTTGGTGGCTGGCCGACACCCGCGGACATCGTCGACCAGTGTTCTCCCTCGCAGTGCGTGCCACCAAACAGAAAGGGGTCGAACGGTCGTCAAATTTGAATACTTCAGCTGACCCCCCTTATTGCCCACTATATTCCGCGACGAAAAACGTTACAAGGCGTTTGTCTCATGTCGCAGTTTGCTGTTTGCTGGAGGTGTATCGTCGTCGTCTAACTACTGCCCTTCCCCACTTCCCTTTCATGGTTGACGTCTTTCGAAGGCTGCCGCTGCAACTCCTAGTCATCCTTTTGCTTGTCCTTGTCGTCGTCTTCCATGTCTGCATCCTCGACAGGGTGCCTGGACGTACACGTAAGAGGCGGTCTGCAAAGAAGGACGTCAACATGGACGGGCGGCAGGCGAAAAGCAGGTCTTGAGTGAACCGCTTCAGAAGCCACCGTGCAGGCCACGACCCGACTCACAATGCAAGGGCGTATGACCCGTTAGAGTGTGTGTGTCGTATGTTGTCCTCTACCGTTTGCTCCTTTCATCGTCATCGTTCGGTGGACCTTTATCGTCGTCGTAGAATTACGGCCCTGTTGTATGTGTTGTTGATAGCCAACCTCTATCAAAGGTTTCCAGTTCCACGTATGCTTCCTCTATCGTTGATGGCTGACCTCTATCGAAGGCCTCCGGTAGAGAAGTTGAGGGATCAACACTGACTGCAGTCGACATCGACATCGGCAGCGCATCCGAGGGCGTTCGTCCACACTGGATGCAATCGCCATCGCCAGAAAAACACGTGGCGACATACGCAACTTCTCCCATAAGTTCTCCTCCATCGCATCATCGCATTGCCTGAGATTCTCTCACCCCCCCCGGTCCTCCTTTTTATCCACCACCTCGGCGTCGTTCTTGGAAGAACACTGCAACCCATGACGCAACAAACCTGAACTGCAGCCTCGATGATGGCCACGGTATCCAACCCTTCGACCGGGACTTGATGAAGAGTCTTCCTCCTCCTCCGCATGCGGATCTGCACGCTCATTCTGCCCAATGCCCTCTCCTGCTGACAACCAAATAGCACAGTCGTCACGACCGCCGCCACAACCGTCTTCTCGATCGTCGTCAACTTCACACGTCCGTCGTCGCTACCGCCCTCCATCAGCATATGTGTTGCAATGTTCATGGACCACGAAAATACAACAGCCTACCAACTCGTCATGAGCACGGTAACATCAACGCCAAGTCCCCGGCGACGTTCCCCGCATGTGCTCTACTCAACACATGGGCGCGGAGGCATATAGAGGCGATGGTGATGGACCTTCGCGGGGCGCTCACAAATTCGTGATGACGTATGATGACTCCATTGCGCCGCTGCAAACGCCCGTTTCCACCGTCACAGATATGGATGCCACCTACCCCGTGTCGCCGTCGTGATGTCCAGTGCCCAATTTGAAATTTGATTTTCGAATGGGGAGGTCCATTGCTTTTTAAGGGTTTTTTTTTGTCCTGTCGCCAGCGCCTTTCAAAATTTCCCGCCTTCGGCAGCTGGACCACACCGTAGCAAGACGGACATCACCCAATGGACCAAGGCATTGCCCCCCCTCTGCGGCTGGCTATAATATTATGAAAATGGCCGCCGGCGGCCAAATGGAATCAGCGTTGGGAGACCACCCCAAGGATAGGTGGAACGACGGCGGGAATTTTCTTCAAACCCCCCAAGGAAACTTCCTTCAGCCCTAAGGACGCCCCAAGGAGTGTCTAACGAGCCCCTAACTCACGGAAGGTTCCCCTAACTTGTTTTTTTGTTCCACAACCCCTTGACCAAACCTTTGAGACGGTCGTCCTTGAAACTGAAGTGCTGACGACATTGCACCAGGAACAGTGGTGATTGGTGAAGAGAAAAAGAAAAAAGAAAAAGGTCCGTATATTACCCGTTTTGAAGGGTCCAGCCCTTGCGCCCCAAGTGACCTCCCGAGGCACCCTTGGGATTTTCGTTGATTTGGCTGGGACACATTTCCGTTTCAGGGCGAACACTTGGCCGCTGGGATGTGGAAACAATTCACAGTCACTGAAGAAAAGATGGACCCTCATATTGGCTGGGACACACTTCCGTTTCAAGGGCGATTGTGATGGACCCTCGTTGGCAGGGCTTACTAGAGAAAAGAAAAGAATACTCAAGAAAAGAAAAGAATACTCAAGAAAAGAAAAGAAAAACCGTACGTATTGACGTTCGGAAAACAAAAGAAGAAGAAGCGTACTTACCTTTGCCACGAGAGCTGTGGAGATCCAGGGCCTTGCTCCACTACTGACCAAATGTGCAAAACGAGCATGAATCTTCTGGTAGACCATGGGTAGATACACTGCTAGTAGTTTAGAGCTTGAAATGCCCTTTTTCCTGGCCGCGTGTGGGGTGGTACAGCCCTCAGCAGCTTGCTATTCGTTTTTCAGTTCCCCCCCCCTTCCTGCGATAGAAGAATCTGGGCTCCATCCAGCGTCCTAGCTCAATTGGTTAGGCACGCAAGTGGTATTCAGGAGGTTGTGGGTCCAATCCCCACGGCCGCCTGTGGCACTCTTGGTGCCATCCAACTGAGATAGTGAGCTGGATCCTCCCAGTCGGTATCAGTAAGGTCTTCAGCCAACACGGGTGTGAGTGCGCGTGTGAGTGGGTTGCGTGTGGTGTGTGGGCAAGTGTTGGCTTTGGACACTATCATTCAAAAGGCTGCCCATCCCCCACTTCATAAGACCTTTGCCAAGCTTACTGTCTAGAACATAAAGCATGCTACCCAAATGGCTGCGTCCCCACGTTTGACGCGGTATAACAGTTACCTATTTCCAGGGTTCGTCATTAGGGCCTCGTTCGACACCACTTGAAAATACTTGAGTTTCAAGGGCACCCTAACTCATGGAAGGTGATTAGTTTCCTGTAACTTGTTTTGTCTTTCCACAACCCCTTGACGAAACCCTTGAGACGGCCTCCCTTGAAACTGAAGTGCTGACGGCATTGCATCAGGAACAGTGGTGATTGGTGGAGAAAAAAAAAAGAAAAGAAAAAGGTCCGTATATTCCCCGTTTTGAAGGGTGAAACCCTTGCCCCCCAAGTGGCGTCCAGAGGCACCCTTGGGATTTTCGTCGATTTGCCTGGGCCGCACTTCCGTTTCAAGGGCGGACACTAGGCCGCGGGGATGTGGGATGGAAACAATTAGCGACTTCAAGGGTGCATGATTAGGGCGGGGTCGAACGACGCTTCCCTGAAAAACAGCAATTTCCAAGTGGTGTCGAACGAGGCCCTTAGGGCGGGGTCGAACGACGCTTCCTTGAAAAACGGCAAATTCCAAGTGGTGTCGAACGAGGCCCAATGTCTCCGTCCGTGCAACCAAGGCAACCCGGCGCCGCCGGCACCCCGGCACACCCGGCACCGGTGCCGGGTTCCCTTGCTTGCACGGAGGGAGACATTCTCCTTCAACCACATCCACTCCAACTAGAGCGTGTCCGCTCGTTTCCCTGCACTACCCCCCTTGAAGACCCAGCCATAGTTGAAGGACAATGCCTTCCTCGCACATCCACTCCAACTAGAGCGCGTCCGCTCGTTTCCCTGCACTAACCCCCTTGAAGACCCGGCCATAGTTGTCCGCTCGTTTCCCTGCACTAACCCCCTTGAAGACCCGGCCATAGTTGACGTTGTCCTTCCCAACTATGGCCGGGTCTTCAAGGGCGTTAGTGCAGGGAAACGAGCGGACGCGCTGTAGTTGGAGTCGATGTGGTTGAAGGAGATAACAGTCAGATCGGGGGCAAACAACGGGAAGCAGAAGCAGTGATGGGATATGCGTAGAATTTGCTGCGGCAGACCGAGGAGGTTTCGAACAACCCCGCCTGAAGAGGAGCTGGCGGAGGCGGCAATCAGCGAGGTGGGTCGGCATGGAGGAGAGCGGATAATCTTGGCAAACCCGGCCCCCGCTCGTTCAGGAAGGAGGACTTGAAACGGAAGGTTCATTGAAGCTATTGCGTCGAAACCTGCGACACCCAGGATTGTGACCGGGTCATATCATATGGTGTGATCCCTCTTTCCCCGGCCAAGACGGTGAAGTAGCCTGGCTGAGGGAATAAATGCGATCGCCCAGTGCGGAGCAAAAGCCGTGGCTTCTTGTGAGGCAGGGCCAGGACGATACGCGGAGGACGAGTAGGCCTGACGGGAGTTGTCAGCGTTGACGCTTGGAGACGTGGCCGATGCCAGCTCTTGGACAGCTAGGGGCCCTTGTCCTCACTCAGCGTGTCGAACGTGGAGGAGGCTGTGCAGGAGGAGCGGCAGGAGGCAGGAATGCGGAAGGAGGACCTCGACGAACCAGCGGGAACGCGGGAGATGTCGCTGTGATCGATTAGAAAGGATAAACGCTTCATCTTCTCCCAAGCTCTGGAACTCAATTTCCGTCGTCGTTGTCTTTCGGTTTGTTCTCTCGCGGTTTGTTCTGTCGACCACTCTATCAGACAGACAGATGACGGTGGATGGCAATGCTTGTCTCGCTGCTGAATCTACGGTGGACGGCAATGCGAGTGTCGCTGAATCTCTATTCCGTTTGATAAGACTTCTGCCCAAGAAGGTCCAGATGGGTATAGCCTTGTTTATTTGGGTGGGCGGTTTCCATGTGAACTTACTCTTCTCCCTCCTGATTCTATGCAACCTCCCGGGTCCGGTAGGCATCGCCTTGCTCTGCGTGTACCTGACATTGGCGTTCATTCCTGTGAAGGAGGACTCCAGTTGGGGAAGAGAGCTTTGTCGCTTCGCTTGCTCCACCGTCGTCGACTACTTTCCCATCTCTTTGAAGTTTGAGGAAAGAGACAGTCTCGACCCGGGCCGAGCTTACGTCATTGGACTCGAGCCGCATTCCGTTTTGCCGCTAAGTGCTGTGGTCCTGAGCCCTCTGGTGATGAAGACACCGTTTCCGAGGATCAAGATGCTGGGATCCTCCGCGCTCAAGCATGTGCCCTTCGCCCGTCACGTGTGGACATGGATGGGTGTGGCTGACGTGTCGAAGTCGTCCTTTGACGACCTCCTGCGGAGAGGTTGGTCGTGCGTTGTCGTTCCCGGCGGAGTGCAAGAATGTCTGTACATGGAGAAAGACAAGGAGGTGATTTTCTTGAAGCAGCGGCGAGGATTTGTCAGAATGGCGATGGCAACGGGATCACCGCTAGTCCCTGTGTTCGGATTCGGACAGAGCCACACGTATTACTTTTGGCTTCCAAAAGGACAGTGGTTTAGGAAGCTGTCGAGGATGATACATTATGTCCCTATGCTGTATTGGGGCATCAAAGGATCTCCAGTGCCTGTGCCAGGGAGGATGTTAGTCGTCGTCGGGAGGCCCATTGAAGTGCCTTGTGTGAAAAACCCGACACCTCAGCAGGTCTCCGAGGTGCACGACAAATTCGTCAAGGCCATGGAAGATATTTATGAACGGCACAAGAGGGAAGGGGGAATGGAAGGGGTACCCCTCGTCATCAAGTGACTGTCCTAGGGAGCTTTGGCAAGTTCTCGTCGAGATGGCCGGTGGAATGCCTCGTATGAGCTATGTATCCTACGACTGACGAGAGTATCGAGGGTATAAGAGAGC